AGAAACCATTGGCCCTAATCTGCACTTGGGCCCAGAAGGGTGCAAAACTCACTTGCCTGAACGCATCAAGTCTGGGGTCACCCGACCCGCAGAAAAGACCATTTGGCCAACAGTTTTCAGCTCCTTTGGTTTGCCTGGGGCTTTGCCTGCTCTGCCCTCTTCTGCCCTGCCAGCCCCAACAGCTTCCCTGCTTAGCCTTGAGGGACAAGGGATTGTGTGAACCTAGAAAAAGGGCAAAGTCAGGAACTCAGGGACAGTAAGCGAATGGAGCCCGGGCATTGTGACCTCCCCCTTCTGAAAGCCGAGATCGGGGTCGAGGATGGGAAATTGATCCCAGCTTTCCTTGTCAAACAAATAGGTTGCCATTCAGGGATTTACCTCCCACCCCACTTGGAAATAGCAAAAACTCTCTCACAATGTTATTTATTTGGGTTTGAATTTATTTGATTTCTGTCCTGGCTCTGTATTCATTTGAACACTCAAGGTGGCCTGTCGGCTTTTGGCAGAATAAAACACTTTTAAGTCTAAAGTGGGCAACCTTGTTTGGGTCCGGGGCCATGTGCCCTCAGCTTTAATTTCCAGGGCCCATAGGGTGGATAGGATGAGGCAAGTGGGGTGGGGGGAGGCTCCCTTTCTCTCTGATGCCCCCTTGTTCCTTCTTTCTGCTCCCCTCTTCATTCTCAGTTGGGGGAAGGGGCTTGGGAAACCCGAAAGTTGCCTGCCCCTGTTTTAAGCCGACTGATCCCCTTTGGCCAAACGGTCCACCTGCAGGACAGCATTCACCAATTTAAAAGCAAAAAGGTCGTTAGATTCAGAGTGTTGAAGCAAAAGGGATCTAGAGATTACAGTGGCCAACTGATTGGAATAAAAGCCCAGTCTGATCCGCTCCTGTGTATTGGACCTCGATGCCATTTCCAGATGGGAGGGGAACTAGTCCTTCAGCTGAATCTAAGCATCGTTTATCCCTTCTGTTGGCTGGGTGCCACCCTGCAACGAAAGTGCTTTGGAGCCAAGGGCACTCTTAAAAGCTGCTCAGTCAAGTCAAATTGCTAATTCAGTCCCTCTGCATGAGCGACTACAAATCCCATCACACGCAGCTTGGTTGTGCAGATGCTGGTTTAATGGTTTTATGGTGTGCCAGGAAAAATCCTAACATCTGCACCGTAATTAACATCTGACTGAAGAACTGTCATGAATGCTAGCTTCTTTTATTAATTGCCTGGACATTTTATGTTCCTTTAGAAGTGGCATATGCAGCGGCTGGATTCACACAACATGCTGAACCCTGAATCCTGTTTAACAACACACAATTCCTAAGTTCCCCTAACATGCAATGCCCAAGTCATTAAACCATCCAATGGCTTAAGGCAGTGTTGTCCAAACTTGGCCACTTTAAGATGAGTGGACTTCAACGCCCAGAATTCCCCACCCCACCCATCCTGCTGGGGGATTTTTGGGGGGTGAACACTATTCTCCTTAAACAGGCCAAACCTCACAAAACA